ACAGCCCCAAGCTAGCTAGCCCCAGGGGAGACTTTGTGGACGCTCACACGGGTCGTCACACGATGGTTACAGCCCCAAGCTAGCTAGCCCCAGGGGAGACCTTGTGGACGCTCACACGGGTCGTCACACGATGGTTACAGCCCCATGCTAGCTAGCCTCAGGGGAGACCTTGTGGACGCTCACACGGGTCGTCACACGATGGTTACAGCCCCATGCTAGCTAGCCTCAGGGGAGACCTTCAGGGACACCCTCATGGGTAGTCACTAACTCTCTGACTGGAATGTCTCGTTAATTAATTATCCTTATGGAGGGGCTGAGTGATGGGAACGACCACTCGCGTTATTACCGTTGTTAATGGATGCAAGGCAACATATGGTGTACGGCACCGTCTTCTGCGATAGCGTTCTCTCTCTCTCTCTCTCTCTCTCTCTCTCTCTCTCTCTCTCTCTCTCTCTCTCTCTCTCTCTCTCTCTCTCTCTCTCTCTCTCTCTCTCTCTCTCTCTCTCTCTCTCTCTCTCTCTCTCTCTCTCTCTCTCTCTCTCTCTCTCTCTCTCTCTCTCTCTCTCTCTCTCTCTCTCTCTCTCTCTCTCTCTCTCTCTCTCTCTCTTTCTCTCTCTTACCCCCCCCCCCTCCCACATAAGACAAGGGTTCTTCAAAATTGGTGCTGATGTTCCTAATGAAACTGTAAGCCGTTATCCGACATGAAGTCATCTGACGCTTGACCCTACAAAATCATTTATTTGACAATCTTAGTATTAGTTTCCACTGGGAATAAACTTTACTGATTACTAAGTTACAATCATATTGGGTACTGGGTGAACTAGGCTTCAAATTTGTTGCAGAGAATCCATATACTGTGCTCGGTTGACCCGATTTCACACCTATCTATACGATGAGCGACGAATATGTTCCAAATTCGAGTCAGTATAGGGCTTTATAATTAGTTTATGGCGTCACAGTTTTTGTTGTTGATGTTGTTGGTCCAGTTCTTGAGTAAGTCGGATCCGGATTATTTCTGGAATCATAACTTTGTTTTTGGTGCAGAGTACAAGATTAGTTGTGGACACAAGCTTCGCTGTGAGTAGGTCTATTCCCTCCTTAATAAAGAATGCCCTCGTCCGGGTCACGCGACTTATGCATCTCCAGTTATTTCAGTCTTTAGACTGTGTTATTATAGCTCAAGAACTGAACCCGAAAATACTTTAAGTTCAGCGAGTGACAACATTGTTGAGTTAGTTGTAATGTGTTGACATGTACTTCAGCAGTCAATTCACGGTTTATCATTAAAACCGTTTATCACGGTTTATCATTATCAATAAGAAACGTCTTATTGACTCCAAGAGGTCCATATTATTGACACAGACACACACACACACACATATATAATATATATATATATAATATTTATTCTCTCCGGCTGAGGTTCGTATTGTTTCAAAATAGTAAAGTTACCCATATACATTTATTTTCTTACATGTCACTAATGTAGAAAAAACTTTTTACTATGGATAACTCTTTTAAAATGGAAGTGATATCAACATTCAGACTGACGAGTAAAATTTTTCAGTCACGGTGTATATACGAATATAACCTTAATATATCAAACACGATAAGCAACCAGCATACCTAACGCTTATTGGTAGGCAACAGCTTTACTCTTGTAAAAGCCACAGTGTTTGAGGAAATTAGGGATGCAGAAGATCAGTCTCTGACACTCTTGAAGACCAGAGGCTCGAGTATAAAGAGTTATGACATGTTTAGAACCGAGAACCATATATACGGTTCACTGTCTAGTGGATGTTAAACATCCACTAGACAGTGTGACATGGTAATTGTCAGAATTAGGCTGGGGTATAGATAAGACAGGTGGCTGTGGATAATGAATCTCCCAATGGTAAACATTCCAATTGTAAGTTATGTGAACAAGAGCTGGGACATACTCTCCAACACTATATCTGTGACTGTCCTGTTATCAATGATTGCAAATCAAATGGTATGAGGTACTTTAAGCTCTGTAACTACGTCACACACTCACGAATATTGGAAGGTATTCTTTTTGCTGTTCGCAGAGTTAACTAGTGGAGGCTAATTGATCAGCCTCTCATTTCATGTTCTCTCCTGATTCCCTGTATGACTAACCATCCTCTGACATGGGGATTTTAGATGAACTTATAACTAGTTTTTGATCTATACTTTGTAATCTTTCATATAGAATAGGGTAGCAGCACACTGCTGTGCATAACCCAAGCTTGTTAATAAATCAAAATAATAACATTTACGTCATACAAAAGATATGTTTTGAGGATGTTTATCTAGACAATTTCTTCAAAAGGTCAGATGTAACACAAACAAGGAGCAACGGTTTTAAGTTTTAAGCTCAAGCCACAATGTAGGACTGAAGACAGGAGATGCTTTTTCTCCCACAGGGTTTTCACCTATGGAACCGCATACCCACCGAAGCCGTAAATGCCAAAACTATGTTAAATTTTAAATTCCAACCGGTGTGATCAGCGCAAGTGGGGGACCTTTGACAAGCCGCCGGCTTTGTGTCCTCGTCGAGGCCACTATAGTGTTAGTGGTCCTCAGATAATGACATGACCAGATATTTACATGAATTTATCAAACAACATTGAAGAATCTGAGCTTCCATAGAGTACATATTGATATCTTACTTGGCTGGTAAGTACATTAAGAATTTGTAGTCTTTACGCGTATTCCTAAACGTTTATAGCATGCAAGATATAAACGTAGGGACCCAGGCGCAATTCCCGGGATAAACAGAAACGATTGTGCTCATTTCATTTCACCTGATGCCTCTGTTTACCTAGAAGTAAAATAGGTACACAGGAGTTAATTCTTGTGTGCTGCATCCTGGAGTGAGTAATTGGCCCTCTGGGGGACCTTGATGAGCCCAGTAGGCTTCCTGTCCCCCCCCCCACAGCGGGAACTATCAACACGAACTGTCTCATGACTCATGACAACAAATCAGTTTCCACCACGAGGTCAAGTAATATGTGGCGCAAGAATTATATATAAATTGTTAACACTGTAATAATACCCTAAGTAATATTTTTGTTATATAAAATTAAATGATCACTCTCATTATCAATGTTATTATTGAGAAAATCCGTAGGAGCCGTGATGAGGATTCGAACCTATGCGGTGGGTGTTCCCAAGCACACGCCCTAGTCGACTAGGCCACGACATGGTAAAAAAAGGATGGCAACCTGAAGTTCTACTGAATTCACCAGGGTTTCCTGAGCCTTCCATTAAAGCCGGACTAGGTTAATGTGGTGGGAACACCCACCGCATAGGTTCGAATCCTCATCACGGCTCCTACGGATTTTCTCACTGATACATTACGTTAGTGTGATTACTCTCTGTGTAATGTAATTATTGTTATAATAAGGGAAAGGGTGTGTAGTTACCCATGCAGCAGGCACTGTCGAAACAACGTCATGAACGTTAAATGAACAAATCCACAAGGGTTTGAGGATTCGAACCCTTGTGGGTTTGTTCCTGCGTCCGGGAGCATCCCAGACGCTGCCTTAATCGACTGAGCGTCTGGGATGCTCCCGGACGCAGGTTCGAATCCTCGTCACGGCCCTTGTGGATTTGTTCATTTGATGCACCACGCTATTGTGATCTCTGTGTGTCATGAACGTTGAATCGACGTTGAATTGTCACTATTGTGCCCACTGTGAAGATGTTTGATTTATAACGTAGTGTACTGTACTTGTGAGTGTGCAGAGTTGACACGAGATACTCAAGCACTCAACCTTTGGGGACTGAACTATAGCGTCACTTTTTAAAGCGTTTAAAATACTGGTAATGAACTCTTAAAGTATTTCCTTGGAGGACGGTAGCGTGTCAAATGTCCCCTGTAGGACATGTAAGGAAATAGGCAGCAATGTGAGGAGCCTCCAGGATATATGAGAGTTCGTGCATCAGTACATGTTGGGGGGGAGGACTCTAGTGTATGTGAGGGTGGGGAAAGGACTCTTGGAAGTGGTAGGGGAAGGGGGGAAGGTTAATAGACTGGTAGGATATACGAGTCCAAAGTTCCTGCGGGAGTCTCGGAAGTGGTTTAGGTTAGGTTAGGTTAGGTTAGGTTAGGTTAGGTTTAGATTGCAGTTATTAATTACGTGAGGTTAAGGTGCCTGATGTTGAATTATTATTATAATTATTATTGGTATTATTATTATTACTAATAATAGTATACATATAACAAGCTCAACAAGCTCATATGTAACAAGTATACATATGTCAGCTCAAGCCGGGGCTTGAGCTGACACAGTCAGCCGGGGCTCGAGTTGCCGGCTCGTGAACCATTCTGATAATTGGCGTCTCGCTTCATTGGCAAATATCGCCAATTTAGAGCTTATTTGGCGAGCCTTTGGTAAATATCGTCCAGTGTTTGTAGGCGCTAGTTTAATGCCGGCGTTCCTCCTCCCCGTGGGGAGTGTAGGCAAGGCGCCCCACACACATCATCGAGGAGTATAGGAGGAACTGGGATAGCATAACTTCTTTTTTACGACCTGGGCACACAGCGCCCCAGTGCCACCAGAGACCTGGGCACACAGCGCCCCAGTGCCACCAGAGACATGGGCACACAGCGCCCCAGTGCCACCAGAGACCTGGGCACACAGCGCCCCAGTGCCACCAGAGACCTGGGCTAACAGCGCCCCAGTGCCACCAGAGACCTGGGCTAACAGCGCCCCAGTGCCACCAGAGACCTGGGCAAACAGCGTCCCAGTGCCACCAGAGACCTGGGCAAACAGCGTCCCAGTGCCACCAGAGACCTGGGCTAACAGCGCCCCACTGCCACCAGAGACCTGGGCACACAGCGCCCCAGTGCCACCAGAGACCTGGGCTAACAGCGCCCCAGTGCCACCAGAGACCTGGGCAAACAGCGCCCCAGTGCCACCAGAGACCTGGGCTAACATCGCCCCAGTGCCACCAGAGACCTGGGCACACAGCGCCCCAGTGCCACCAGAGATCTAGGCACACAGCACCCCAGTGCCACCAGAGACCTGGGCTAACAGCGCCCCAGTGCCACCAGAGACCTGGGCTAACAGCGCCCCAGTGCCACCAGAGACCTGGGCAAACAGCGCCCCAGTGCCACCAGAGACCTGGGCTAACAGCGCCCCAGTGCCACCAGAGACCTGGGCACACAGCGCCCCAGTGCCACCAGAGACCTGGGCACACAGCGCCCCAGTGCCACCAGAGACCTGGGCTAACAGCGCCCCAGTGCCACCAGAGACCTGGGCACACAGCGCCCCAGTGCCACCAGAGACCTGGGCACACAGCGCCCCAGTGCCACCAGAGACCTGGGCAAACAGCGCCCCAGTGCCACCAGAGACCTGGGCTAACAGCGCCCCAGTGCCACCAGAGACCTGGGCACACAGCGCCCCAGTGCCACCAGAGACCTGGGCACACAGCGCCCCAGTGCCACCAGAGACCTGGGCAAACAGCGCCCCAGTGCCACCAGAGACCTGGGCACACAGCGCCCCAGTGCCACCAGAGACCTGGGCAAACAACGCCCCAGTGCCACCAGAGACCTGGGCAAACAACGCCCCAGTGCCACCAGAGACCTGGGCAAACAACGCCCCAGTGCCACCAGAGACCTGGGCAAACAGCGCCCCAGTGCCACCAGAGACCTGGACTAACAGCGCCCCATTGCCACCAGAGACCTGCGCTAACAGCGCCCCAGTGCCACCAGAGACCTGGGCTAACAGCGCCCCAGTGCCACCAGAGACCTGGACTAACAGCGCCCCAGTGCCACCAGAGACCTGGGCTAACAGCGCCCCAGTGCCACCAGAGACCTGGGCTAACAGCGCCCCAGTGCCACCAGAGACCTGGACTAACAGCGCCCCAGTGCCACCAGAGACCTGGGCTAACAGCGCCCCAGTGCCACCAGAGACCTGGGCAAACAGCGCCCCGGCACAAGTTTTCCAGAGACATTAGCATGACACAGGGAAGGCAGCGAGGAGAGCCTTAGAGGTTCTTCAACTAGAAATCCGTCTCTTTGGTGACACTGAAAAGATTACTTGAGTGATGCCAAGTTTTTCCAGTGCCACATCAGCCCTGGCTCTTATCCCACCAAACTTCTACACCCAAGGAAGCCGAAAAATGGTGTTTAGGTCGAATTTTTATCGTGAGGGCTGCCGCCGGCGACGAAAAGTGGGACGGTGGAGGTGCATTAAGGCGACGAACTTGGTTATGGGCTGAAAGGTGGCACGCCCTCACACCCTCAAGTTCTTTACGCCCACACGTTCATACGAGAATTGTGAACACTTCTAGAGTTCACCCGGGCTTTTCCACACTTGTACACCTCCAACAGGTGTATGATGGATGGATGCCCACTACTACATCTCCAACACTGCCTGAAGCCCCACCTCCAACACTGTGAGACGCTCCACCTCCAACACTGTGAGACGCTCCACCTCCCTAGGGATGGTCAGACGTTGGCCAAGGAGAACCCTCCACAAACCTAAGAGGCTTCCCGACCCCGACAATAGCACACCCGACTAGACATGATCGCGTGCCATCAGTGCAGGGAGGGGCAGCGTAGACGAGCCCCAGTGACAGACTTGATGACATTAGCACCAAGTTTAGCAGCGTGACTTTCTTACTACTACTCCATTTGGCGAACACGGATGGGGCCTGGAACCAGTGTCCTGGGTAACCCCAGACGTGTGCCTTCCACAGCGCGGTATGATGATTTCATTGTGTAATAATAACCAAATTGAGATCAGACGTGAAACTCGCACTCTCGTGGTTATTCCCGTTTTCTGTTTATTGAAGGAGTTAGAAAAAAGGTACTTGGAACCGCGGCGCTTAAAGGCGTCCACAACAAAAAATACACGATAAAAATTCGAAAATCTTTTTTTTTGGTTGAAAGGTTTGGGAGGGGGAGAGGGAAGGTTATGTGGCGAAAGTAGAGTTAAAGGGTGAAGCAGGGGGGAAGAAGAGGATGAAGGGGGGAGGGGGGAAGGAAGGGAAAGGGTAATAATAGATGGGAATAGGAGGAGGAAAGAAGACTGGGTAGGATGTGGTGGAGTGACTAGTGACCTGGGAGGAAGGAGTCTCCTGTGTCCAAGGCTTCACGTCTGAAGGATTTCCGCCTTCCTACCCCGTCAAATATAGTCTCACCTGGGGTAGGGAGGGGGGGAGACCTGGGGGTTGATATCAGGCCAGACCTGCCCCCTGAAGCCCACATCAACAGGATATCACCAGCGGCATATGCGACGTTGGCCAACATAATTACGGCCTTTAGAAACTTGTATGAGGACTCATTCAGAACTTTGTATACCACATATGTCTGACTAAATTGGAGAAGGTTTAGAGGTATGCCACAAGACTATAACCCGAGTTGAGGGGTATGAACTACGAGGAAAGACTACGGGAATTAAACTTCACGTCACTGGAAGACAGAAGAGTTAGGGGGACATGATAACCACATACAAGATTCTCAGAGAAATTTATAGGGTAGACAAAGACAGCACACAAGGGGCACACGCACTAGGGAACACAGGTGGAAAATTAGTACCCAAATGATCCACAGAGACATTAAAAATAATGTTTTTAGTATCAGAGTATAACAAATGGAATACATTAGGCAGTGATGTGGTGGAGGCTGACTCCATACACAGTTTCAAATGTAGATATGATAGAGCCCAGTAGGCTCAGGAACCTGTACACCTGTTGCGAGGTGCGACCAAACAGCTGAAGCTCAACCCCGCAAGTACAATTAAGTGAGTACCTGGGTACCGTCCCACCCGGGCACCGTCCCACCGAGGTACCGTCCCACCCGGGGTACAATTCCACTGGCACTGTTTGACATCAGCTTTTCCAACGGCTTGAAAGCTCCCCTTGAGTTGCCATCCAGTTTAATCATAGTGTTTCAGGTCACCTCCTCCCTATCCTCCCTCTGTTCCTGCTCCCTTCCTCTTTAGTTCCGTACACCACTTCCCTCTCCCTCCCTCCACCACTTCCCCCTCCCTCCCTCCACCACTTCCCCCCTCTCTCCCCTACTCTGTGTTTAACTCCGGGCTCAGCAATCTAACTTTCTGCTTTCTACCCTCCACTGAAAGGTAATTATTTTCCCAAGCTTAAAAATATAAAATTATTTGGATTGGGTTTCGAGAGTAAATTAAAGGAATTGTTATTTACACAAAGGAACAGTTAATTTGTGTGTGTGTGTGTGTGTGTGGGTGTGTGGGTGTGTTTACACTTGTTCACTTGGAGAACGCATCTCTACTTCTGTTTTTATTCTACTTGAAATAAAGTTATTTCGAAGTTCAAAGGTTATCTATACTTGCATTTGTTGGGAATTTAGACTTTGTGGGTCAATTTATGTATTATTTCTTGGGCTGCAATAGTTGTTACGGGAGGGGAGACGGCTTGTAAAACAGTAAACTGAAAATGGTATATAATATAGATAATTGAGTGTCCGGGGCCGCCCACAAACCCGAAAATCCAATTTGAGAAGAGCAATATATACAAGTGAATTTTACATGCAAGAGCTGATTGTCTTCCAAAGCTGCCGGAGGTACAATGATTTTCAATTTATAACAATCAACTCGTGGACAAATATACATGTATAATATTCCCCCCTTTTTCATCTATGACTGTGCGTTGCTGAGCATGTGAATACATTTATACATTAATGTAATGTATAAATATATCGTGTAAGTGATTATATATATTTTTATACACTTAATGTGTGTGTATATACACTACGTGTCCGTATGGATGGCGGCTTATTCAATGTGTCAAGGTTCATATTCCTTTTGGACGTCTTGTCAAAGTGTTAACTGCTTGTTGGGAGACGTGAGAGCGCTGGCCTGCGAGCCAGTGTGTGTGTGTGTGTGTGTGTGTGTGTGTGTGTGTGTGTGTGTGTGTGTGTGTGTGTGTGTGTGTGTGTGTGTGTGTGTGTGTGTGTGTGTGTCACACTCGTGCTTCAGGGCAGCCAACACTGTTGATTGTTTACTGCAGGTGTTTAATGAATTATTATTACGGTTTGTTATTATAATATTTAATGAACATCTGCGTAGGTTCCGGTACAGTGAGTACTACGGAATGTGATATTTAAGTTGTTATTAAGTGTACGTCGAGAGGGTAAAAAGTATTATTCACAGTTGGTAATGCCTGAGGGTTACCTGTGGGACGGTCGAGAGGTCCACCTCAATTGTCATAGGGTCAATGGGAGGTTTCAGTGGTGTGATATTAAGCTCTGAGGAACTAAGGAAGTGCGGACACCCGCACGTCTCTCATTAGTTTAACTGTGCGTCGTACTCCGAGTTAGATGTGATTCTCGAGTGAATAATATACTTTTCATGAAGGGTAAGATACTGATTTGTTGTCTTGGCTTTTGAGGGAGTCCCGGTGACTTTTAAGTTGGTTAACGTCTTGTGACTGTACTTTGCCCAGTACTTGATACTGTGACGTTGTTGATACTATTATAGGCTATAGAGACTATTGATAGCTCGTATCAATATCAAAGGTGTGTGAGGGAGTGAACAGGTGGATGAGTGAGGGAGTGAACAGGTGGATGAGTGAGGGAGTGAACAGGTGGATGAGTGAGGGAGTGAACACGCGGATGAGTGAGGGAGTGAACAGGTGGATGAGTGAGGGAGTGAACAGGTGGATGAGTGAGGGAGTGAACAGGTGGATGAGTGAGGGAGTGAACACGCGGATGAGTGAGGGAGTGAACACGCGGATGAGTGAGGGAGTGAACACGCGGATGAGTGAGGGAAGGAACACGCGGATGAGTGAGGGAGTGAACACGCGGATGAGTGAGGGAGTGAACACGCGGATGAGTGAGGGAGTGAACACGCGGATGAGAGAGGGAGTGAACACGCGGATGAGTGAGGGAGTGAACACGCGGATGAGTGAGGGAGTGAACACGCGGATGAGTGAGGGAGTGAACACGCGGATGAGTGAGGGAGTGAACACGCGGATGAGTGAGGGAGTGAACACGCGGATGAGTGAGGGAGTGAACACGCGGATGAGTGAGGGAGTGAACACGCGGATGAGTGAGGGAGTGAACACGCGGATGAGTGAGGGAGTGAACACGCGGATGAGTGAGGGAGTGAACACGCGGATGAGTGAGGGAGTGAACACGCGGATGAGTGAGGGAGTGAACACGCGGATGAGTGAGGGAGTGAACACGCGGATGAGTGAGGGAGTGAACACGCGGATGAGTGAGGGAGTGAACACGCGGATGAGTGAGGGAGTGAACACGCGGATGAGTGAGGGAGTGAACACGCGGATGAGTGAGGGAGTGAACACGCGGATGAGTGAGGGAGTGAACACGCGGATGAGTGAGGGAGTGAACACGCGGATGAGTGAGGGAGTGAACACGCGGATGAGTGAGGGAGTGAACACGCGGATGAGTGAGGGAGTGAACACGCGGATGAGTGAGGGAGTGAACACGCGGATGAGTGAGGGAGTGAACACGCGGATGAGTGAGGGAGTGAACACGCGGATGAGTGAGGGAGTGAACACGCGGATGAGTGAGGGAGTGAACACGCGGATGAGTGAGGGAGTGAACACGCGGATGAGTGAGGGAGTGAACACGCGGATGAGTGAGGGAGTGAACACGCGGATGAGTGAGGGAGTGAACACGCGGATGAGTGAGGGAGTGAACACGCGGATGAGTGAGGGAGTGAACACGCGGATGAGTGAGGGAGTGAACACGCGGATGAGTGAGGGAAGGAACACGTGGAATTTTTTGTTCGGTGCTTAGAATTTTTTTTTTCAAATAGCCGAGTAAACTTCTTTTAATATTAACCACTTTAATCACCTCTCTCAGATTCACATTAAAACTAATAGGAATATCCTTGGTAACCAAAGCTTCAATATTTTCTTCGCAACCTCATTATTTCTCCAACAATATTTTCCACGCCACCACTTTTAATTCCTTTGCAATTACACCAGTCAAATCTATTTTCAAACTGCACACTTATACAGCACTTGCCCTTGACCCTGACTTTTATAAAGGTTAAACAGCAACGGTAAGATTTGAAAAAACAAATTCCTCCCATGTTTATAAAGACGGTAATATTATGGTGACAAAAGTATGATGGTAAGGTAACCCAATATTTAATATTTTTGATGTTTCGACCCGTGATGTGAAGCGCCTTGCTTTAGAGTAGCTGTATAAATGCACCTGTACTTATGTTTGATAAAATTGTACTTTTTTGCTATTATCAACGTTGTTGTCCGCACAGACCACACCACAATCACCACCACACATGACAACCCTAAACTAAAGCCCTCACAATACCCAAAACACACACACCCTAACCGCCAACATCACGACCACCACCAACACTTCCGGCCTAGTCCTCGTTAAAACTAGCACCAACATCAACACCCTCATCAACGCCAACACACATCCCCACCAACACCCACACCTCCGCCAACAACTTCACCACCCTAACCGCCGCCAACACACACCCCCCAACACCAGGAACTTGCTCCATTGAGGCTACGTTGAACCTAGCTTTTTGAGGAGCAAAATAGCAACCCACTTGTTGGCATCAACCGGTGCAGTGACTGGACCCTCCGCTAACTGCCAAATGCCGCCACTCGCTCTTCTGTGAATTCGATATATATATATACATATCGCATATTATCCGGTAATTATTATGGTACATAGTTGGAGACGTTAGTGCTAATAATAAGAGTATCGTGTATGGGGTACTGGTGTGAGCGGGTTAGGAAGAGTGCTGGAAATGAGTTTGGGGAGAGGGTACCGGTGGAGACCCGTAATCCAGACAGCTTCCAGTTTGGACTGAGAAAGTGCGCGTGGTGGGTGTGTGCGGCGCCTCTCTCCCATGATGCCAGTGCCAGTGTCCCTAGGCCACGCCCTCGGTACCATGCTCGGCGTCCCTGCTGCCGCCTCACACCCGCACGTCTGTGATTAGTTCAACTGTGCGTCGTACTCCGAGTTAGATGTGATTCTCGAGTGAATAGTGTTGGTGTAGAGTGAATAGTGCGAGCATGAGGTGGGAGGTGTTGCTACTGCTGCTGGCAGGGCTGCTGGCGCCAACAAGGGGGTTCCTAGTGACAGTACCCGACACCACGCCCGTCGGACGCGGCGTATTTCTCGCCTTCATGGACGGACCTACCCGTTACAAGCTAGACTCTCGCAGGACGTCCAGCCACGTCCACAGACTCCTCCACGTGGACCGCACAACGGGCACGGTCTCGGTCAAGCACCCGCTGGACTGCTCGGGCACCTTCTACACCAACCCGGTAACGGTGTGGGTGGAGGCGTGGTCGGAGAGGCCCGGGGCGCCCATCGACTACGCCTCCTTCCCCGTGCGAGTGTTGGTGACGGGCGACTCCTGCCGCCACCACGCCGCCCTCCTCCAGCGGGAAGTCGCGTCCTGGATAGATACGGCGGCTCTCTCTCTGCCCCTACCTGACCCCGATCCAGCCGATCCTGATAGACTGTGTCTGCGGAGGTCTCAGGTCATCCTCAGAATCCCTTCCCTGTTGCCACGGACGCCGCAGGCCTGCAGACTTGACTACACTTCCGTGTCAGACCACCGTGTTACCATCGAGCCCCATGGCGGCGACTTGGTCAGTCTCTTCGACACGTGTCTGACGGGGGTGACAAGAATCAAACTGGGGCTACAACTAACGTGTTCAGGGCTAACGGCGCCGTACGACCACGACCTAACGCTGGTGTTGCACAGCGCTGCCACCGCCAACGAAGGTCACATTCGTCGCATCCGTCGCCAAATGCAAACAGCGGCGCCGTACTTCGAGCGTACACTTGAGGTGGCGCACGTGGTGGAGGAGTCGGACAAGGGCACGTCAGTGACCACGGTGACGGCCACAGACCCAGAGGACGCGCCACTGACGTACTCTATCGAGGCTGTGCTCGACGCCCGCTCGCAGAGGATGTTCGAGATCGATCCCACGTCGGGCCTCGTCACCACCAAGACGCGCCTCGATCGCGAGCTCGTCGACGTCCATTACTTTCGTGTCAAGGCGGTGGACAAGGCATCATCGCCGCCTCGTTCAGCCACCACCACTCTTCAAATCAACATCGACGACGCCAACGACCACGAACCGGTGTTCGAGCGTCAGGAATACGACACATCGGTCCGAGAGTCTACAAGCGTCGGGTCCACCGTCCTAACAGTTCGCGCGACGGACCAAGACTCTGGCCCTAATGCAGACCTTCGTTACACTATTCTCAATCCTTCAGGTGCTAACGAGGTGTTCCGAATAGACCCCAAATCCGGGGAGCTGTCGACGCGCCTGCCGCTGGACCGTGAAGAGCACTCCCAGTACACGTTGACGGTGCAGGCAGAGGACCAGGGCCCCGCCCAGCACCGCCTCACAGCCACCGCTCAGATCTCCGTCACCGTCATGGACGAAAACGACAACTACCCACAGTTCACGGAGAGAACGTACACGGTAGAGGTGCCCGAAGACATAAGTGCAGCCGCCTCCCCGGTCATTGCCCATATCCAGGCCAGCGACAACGACAGCGGCAAGAACGGCCAGGTGCGATACGCCATAATCGGCGGCAATACCGCTGGACACTTTACAATTGACGGATTGACGGGCGAGATCCGTGTTGCCGCCCCGTTGGATCACGAGACCAACCGTCACTACCGTCTTGTGGTCCGTGCCCAGGACGGCGGGTCGCCCCCACGATCCAACACGACGCAACTCCTCGTCAACGTAAGGGACGTCAACGACAATTCTCCCAGGTTTTACACGCCACTCTTCCAGGAGACCGTTCAGGAGAACGTCCCCGTCGGATACTCAATTGTTCGCGTTCAAGCGTTTGATAACGACGCCGGTGACAACTCTCTTCTAACCTACAACGTGGATGGCGGCGGGGAGAACCTGCCTGTGGAGGTGGAGGAGTCAACGGGGTGGGTGCTGACGCGGCGGGAGCTGGACCGGGAAGAGAACCACCACTACACCTTCACGGTGGTGGCTCGCGACCATGGCGATCCCCCACAGTCAGCCTCCGCCACAGTCATCCTACAGATTCAGGACCAGAACGACAACGATCCAGTCTTTCACCCTAAGAACTACGAAGTGGCTGTGAGCGAGAGCGACTACCCTGGTACGCCCGTCGTTACCGTCACCGCCACCGACAGGGACGAAAACCCGCGTCTCCACTACGCCATAACGTCAGGGAACGAGCGCGGCCGCTTCTCTATCACTGCGCAGAACGGACGAGGATTGATCTCATTGGCGCAGCCCCTCGACTATAAGCAAGAACGGAGTTACATCTTGACGGTGACGGCTACAGACGCCGGCGGACGGTACGACTCCGCCACCGTGTACGTCAACGTCAGTGACGCCAACACCTTCCCACCACAATTCGAGAACACGCCGTATTCTGCCACAATATTCGAGGACGCACCAGAGGGCAGCACTGTGATAATGGTGGCGGCCTCCGACGGTGACACGGGAGAGAACGCTCGCATTACCTACTCCCTCAGCGGGGAATCCGTTCCAGAATTCGTAATTCATCCCAGCACGGGCGCGATTACCACCACCAAGCACTTAGACCGAGAAGCCCAAGGCGGCTACCTTCTCACTGTCACTGCCCGCGACAACGGTACCCCGCCCCTCTCCGACACAACCGATGTTGAAATCACCATCGTAGACGTGAACGACAATGCGCCTGCGTTCAGTAAACCGTCGTACCGTGCCTCCATTCCAGAGGACTCCTCGGTTGGCGCCTCCGTAATTCAGATTAAGGCTAGTGATGCTGACGCGGGTCTGAACGGAAGAGTCGTGTATTCCTTCGTTGGCGGAGACAACGGGAATGGCGCCTTCTCGCTGGACCCGACCTCCGGAGTGGTGAGGACAGCCCGCCTTCTGGACCGGGAGACCGTGGAGCAGTACTCCCTGGTGGCTCTGGCGGTAGACCGAGGCGCCCCGGAACGATCGTCGTCAGTCACGGTGCTGGTGGACGTTGAAGACATCAATGACAACCCTCCCATGTTCGACACGGACCGCATTCAGCTGTACATCGCGGAGAACTCCCCCGTGGGGTCCACGGTGGGGGAGGTGCGGGCCCGGGACCCCGACGCCGGCCGCAATGCCCTCATCCAGTACAGCATCATTGGCGGGCCTGACGCAAAGAATTTCAGCATGGTCGCGCATCCCTCCGAGGGTCGCGCTGAACTCGTCACTCGCGTCGACCTTGATTACGAGTCTCCGAAAAAGAAGTACCAACTCAATGTGCGCGCCACGTCCGCGCCTCTGAGGTCGGACATTCCCGTGACTGTGCACGTCGTCGACATTAACGACAATGCTCCAGTCCTCTCCGATTTCCGCATCATCTTCAACAACTTCAAGAATCATTTTCCGATTGGTCCAATCGGCCGTGTGCCCGCCATGGACGCTGACGTCACGGACCAGGTGCGTAAGCCCACCTAAGATGAAGTTATTCCATGGGTTAATTATGGTCTCGGTCGCGGCCCCAGCATCTCGGCCTGCTCTCGCCCATTACCGTATAATTATACCTTTGTTACTTTACGGACAAACGTTGCCTAGACGCACACTAATATATATATTAGTCTATTTATATAAATAGACATATATTATTTATATAATATATATATATGTACATGTGATTATTTATATATATATATATAATATATATATATACCTAGAAGGGGTACCACCTCTGGTGCAAGTGTAGGGACCCATAGCCTCGGAGAAGAAAATAAAGAGTACTCAGAGAAGACCTTGTGGATCCTCACTGAACACTTTGATATTTTCTTCTCCTACCACCCCTATTCTTTTGGTATGAGTGTATATTTATCTAACTTTATTTGAAAATGTCATTACACAAAAAAAGTTACAATATTGATTACATGCAGGGTGCAAGGCTGCTTGTCACAAGTTGTATAGCTCCTCAACTCCTCAGATGGCGGGAACGGCCCTACCTAACCTAACTTAAAAAGATAGGTTAGGTTAGGTAGGGTTGGTTAGGTTCGGTCATATATCTACGTTAATTTTAACTCCAATAAAAAAAATTGACCTCATACATAATGAAACGGGTAGCTTTATCATTTCATAAGAAAAAAAATTGAGAAAATTTATTAATTCATGAAAACTTGGCTTATTAGGCAAATCGGGCCTTGCATAGTAGGATGAGAAGTGCGTTCTGGCTACTAGGTACGACATATATATATATAATGTCGTACCTAGTAGCCAGAACGCACTTCTCAGCCTACTATGCAAGGCCCGATTTACCTAATAAGCCGAGTTTTCATGAATTAATTATTTTTCGACTACCTAACCTACCTAACCTAACCTAACTTTTTCGGCTACCTAACCTAACCTAACCTGTAAAGATAGGTTAGGTTAGGTAGGGTTGGTTAGGTTCGGTCATATATCCATGTTAATTTTAACTCCAATAAAAAAAACTTGACCTCATACATAATGAAACGGGTAGCTTTATCATTTCATAAGAAAAAAAATTGAGAAAATATATTAATTCATGAAAACTTGGCTTATTAGGCAAATCGGGCCTTGCATAGTAGGCTGAGAAGTGCATTCTGGCTACTAGGTACGACATATATATATATATATATATATATATATATATATATATATATATATATATATATATATATATATATATATATATATATATATATATATATATATATATACAATATACATATATATATAATAATATGTGTGTGTGTGTAAATCACGAAAATTAACCCGTGATGAAAAATGTGACTGTTAAACCACGGAGGAAGAATTGAAACAGGAATTTCCTTAAGTACTTTCGTATTTAACAATACATCTTCAGAAGGGTGAACTGATGTTCTTAAATTCACCCTTCCGAAGATGTGTTGTTAAATACGAAAGACCGAAATTCCTGTTTCAATTCTTCCTCCGTGGTAATATAAATAATATATATATATATCTATAATATAATATACATATTTATTTATATTTATTTAGCCTGTAAAAGACTAAGCCACTGTATAAGGTGAATGAAGCAGAAGAGAGCAACCTCAGCTGCCTTTCTGCTGGTCCCTCACTCCTATGCTACACAATTGATGCTTTGGATGCATTACTGGATGGATAACTTCATTGTTTTTGCCCTCTGATATATTTCTGCTTCGGCAATTTATTTTTGTTAGGTTCCATATACGGCTTTCTATATAAACAGGAACGTACACATTAAGGCTAATATATATAGACACCCAAACACACACACTCAGGACCCCCTCTGAAGGCAGGCTGACCCTCACTGAAATAAGACATTTAAACAACAACGGGCGGCCTTCAAGTTAATGTCTACTATGGACCCGTTGTAACGACTCGTCCGGTGATGTGTGTGGTCGCCTTGGATGGTTGTCGAACTGCCACTCACACCTTCCCTTGCTTGCAATCCTCTCCCAATAATAATCTTTGGTCCCTGTCGAATAACTAGGCTACTAGGACGTTGCAGCGGGGTTGTGACCGGGGAGGCGGCGCAGCAGGAGTCCCCAGAGTACTGTAGAGCGAGTCAGGTGTGTGGGTGGTCCGGGTTAGAGGCCCACCAGGTACCTTTCCAGCCCCGCGCTCAGCACAGTCTACGGGGGGTCTTGGCCATGTCGGACCTGTCGTCCACGGGTACCACATACGATCTCTACAACATACACCATTCATGCCTCTGTGTCACAAGTGCCCCGTAACATTCTCTTGTGTGGGATGGGCACAGAGAGCGGGAAGCGCGTGTTGTAGTCAGTGTGGTGGACCAGGGTGAGATGGCTCAATCACAAGATGAAGGTCGGCGGGTGTAGGCCTCCCTCGGTGTTGGTGTAACTGCGGCTTGCCACCCACCGGGCGGAGAGAGACGTCTCTTACCGGGCTAAGCATCTGACACGAAGCGAGGTGTTTGCCATCGGGCGAAACATCTCGCGCTGGTATAGGTCGCTATGTGATCGCTGTCTTCCCCACACCTGACATTAAGGCTGTCAGCCACATGCCTGACATAATAGTGATATCAGCTTACCTATTTGTGTTTATCAATGACAACTAAGAAGTAAGGTTTTGTTCTTTATGTTCCGCTTACTGGCATTGTTATATCTGTTGCATTAACATTTTACTGTTTTGATATTCGTAATTTTTGTTGACTTTTGCCTTGAAGTTGTAGATGAAGGTGGCTTCCACAACTGCTTTCAGAGCATTCCACTTGTTGACCACCCGTACAGGGTAAGAGTATTTCCATACATTTCTTAGACTCATTTGCGTTTCCAGCTTCCACTTATCTTCTTGGCCCACTTTCTTTCAATTTAAAGAGACTCTCCTTGTCTACATTGTCTATACAACTCAGTCTTGGTACCTTCTTTTTTTAAATTATTTATACCTCTCAGTATAATGTAATTATATCCCCCCCTGTTCTCTCCTTTAGGGTTGTGAGATCTAAGTTCCTTAACCTATCCTAGTAGCTTTACCCTCTTAGTTCTGGATAAATTTGTGTTGCAACCCTTAATACTTTATAATTTTTGTTTTATATTTCAATTGCTAATTTCAGGGCGGTGTTGCATATTCCAGTATTTTCAACCATAACCTGTATTGATTGTCGTGAAAGAGTCCTTATTTAGGATTATAAATGCCTTTCTAATATTTTTCAGCGTCCCATATGCTAATATGTTGCATTGTTAATGTGTGTTTCCGGTGTTTGTGTTGTTCACTCCTTAATCTTTTTTTGATTCTTGTAGGTAGCTTGCCCTTATGGTGTAGATACCTCCTGGTCCTCTTTTTATTTACCATTTTTTTATTTTAGCTTACACTTGATGGAATTGAATTCTAGCAGCCATTTGTCTGCCCAATCCTGGAGTTTTTCATGGGTTTCTTCTAATTTTCCGCAGATCTTCTTGGTTTTTACATTTCTTATTAAATTTGCGTCACCTGCATATATTGACAAGTCCGAGCTCACTCCCTCGAGTAGGCTGTTCACTTAAATTTGGAACAGCCGAGCCTGTCGCATCCCTCCAGCTCGACACCATTTCTCTGACTGTTACCTTTTGGTTCTGTTAACGCACATGTTGTGTGTGTGTCATTATATTCGTCAACGCTGTAACTTTTCACCCACACACAACTCCCTTCCACAGCTCCCTCCCATACTTCAATCCCACCCTCATATTCGTGTAAGAGACCCGATATGTGGTGGCTACGGTGAAATTAGAGCCGTATGTGAACAGAACTCTGGGGTGGTCGGTGGGGAGGCGTCCTGGAGATGGAGGAAGCCATCCAGGAGGACCAGAGAACCTTCCAAAGGGTCGAAGAAACCGACTTGGTGGAGGAGGTGGTGGAGCGAACTATCCTGGATAAGGACGAAAGGTGTCCAGGAGGAGTTAGATGAGTATTAAGGGCAGCCAAGAGGAGTAGGGGGTCTTCTAGGTTGTCTTAAAGAAAGAATAAACCCTCTAGCAGGAGGAGTGTCCAGGAGTCAAATTACCTGCGTCCGGCCACTCCCCCTCGTTGAGAGGGAGATAGGAGGAGGAGGGAAGAACAATTGAAAGGAAAAGCAACCCATGATGTGAAGAGGAAGATCAGAAGGAGGAGAGGGAAGTTAAGGAGGTGAGCGACACTAGAGTGGCTGGTACGGTCCTTGGGGTTTTCCATAGAAGCAGACTTGAGAGTGAGAGGGGAGACAGTGAAGGGTGTAGAGGGGTGACTCAGGTTACCATTGCGAGCGAGCACGGTGAGGGAAGGTCAGGGAAATGTAGCGTCTCAGGGGTTCACTATCGTCGCAAAAATAACCAGCCAAACGCGACACCTGAGACTTGAAGGTGTACCATGATGCATGGGCGTGACACCTGAGACATGAGGTTGTATCACGATGCATTGGCGTGACACTTGACTCTCCAGCATGCAACATGAAGTATTAGCGTGCAATATGACAGAGGTGTACAAAGTAGGAGAGTGTGAGAGGGAGGAGGAGAAGAGTGAGAGGCTGGGAGGGAGGAGGAGAGTGAGAGGCTGGGAGGGAGGAGGAGAGTGAGAGGCTGGGATGGAGGTAAAAAGCGAGATATGGGAGGCACTAACGTTGAGGCGAGAGGGAGGTGGTCCATTGTGTGGGTCATTACAACGTGACCAGTAGCGGGTTCCTTCCAAGTGCAACCATTGTTCTGGTCGCTGTCAACAATTACCACCACCAGCCTGGCAGCAGAAGGCCATGGAGTAGTGGCCCTGGTGTAGTGGTTCTCATGGTGTGGCCCTGGTGTAGTGGTTCTCATGGTGTGGCCCTGGTGTAGTGGTTCTCATGGTGTGGCCCTGGTGTAGTGGTTCCCACGGTGTGGCCCTGGTGTAGTGGTTCTCATGGTGTGGCCCTGGTGTAGTGGTTCTCATGGTGTGGCCCTGGTGTAGTGGTTCTCATGGTGTGGCCCTGGTGTAGTGGTTCTCAT